CTGTTCCCGTATTTTAAATGTTTGGTGAAATTAGAAACTGTAATGAAAGTATGGAAGAAAAGGATTATTGGTTGTATATTCCCGCTTACCAAACTCGAGTGAAAACGTTCTGTAGATGGGGTTTTGGTGGATACGTCAGCCTTCAACATCCGAATATAGCGTCCTTCTCGGAATACAAGAGAACAGGAACAGACTGCGCAATAAGTACAATAGATGATCCAGAGAACATGGGAGCTGGAACGACAGAATTTCAAAAAATAAAACTGAAGAGTAACAATGGTTATCAGATTAATTATATTAATACGTTTTTCTCCACAAATAGTCTTCTAAATCGCCAACCTTATGGTACTGCCAAAGATTGTTACCCTAAAGATAATGGTTGTGGTGTTCTGGGAAAGTTTGTTATTGACACCCGAGGGACAGGCCTCAAGTTTCCAGACTCCCTGTCGTGGAAAACCACAGGAAAATCAGCAGTTATTGTCAATATAACCCGGACTATGGGTGGTCATGTGATAACAGGATTTTGTGGGGGAGATTGTGGTGGATGCGAAATCGATGAAACCAGAAATGTAAATCTTCTGGAGGTGGATGAGAAAGATATGCCACCATTCGAAACAGCAGACCTACCACTTTGTCAATTTCTGCTGTAATTGTATTGGTGCTGGCACGATACATTAGTGATTCAATACAGTACAAAGAGATACAACTACACTGCTTTGAAATACAAAAGAAATTGAAAGTAGAAGTTCCATTTGTGAATGTAAACATGACTGCAGTTAGCCGATCTATAATAAATTACTAGTAATATTTCATTTATTTTTTCATTTTCTTAAATTAAAAAAATATTCCTTGATTTCTTCTTCTATTACATCATATCACGATAGGTATCGTATCGTTTCAATTGTATCGTGATACGTATCGTACATAGATATCCTATTATAGCATATCTAAGGTATCGTATCGTGTCATGATTGACTATTTTTATCACAACTTTGTATAATATTGTTAGATATGGAGTTTTGGTTTCACAAATTTGCACCACTGTCTTGCAATTCAGCCATCAAATAACACTGCGCGAAAATGGGTTTTACTTAAATCATATTCGTTCCATCGGTAGAAAATTTCAAATCCAAAAAAGATATGTGATATATGATATATGAGTCGTATTTCCCAGTATGAAAATCAGGTATGTTGTGAGCAACCGTAGAAAATAGGAAGTAAAACCACACACGACGTCAATAATGGTATCCGAACCCGTACCTTTACCTTGTACCATATCGATAATCCCGCGTCGCACACAACGGACACCATACCTCGTCTATTTCCTCCTTTAGAAGTCGGAGTGAATCCTGTAAGTCTGGTGACGGCCTGACTATTGTTAACATTTTTGAAAAGCTCAAATCTGGTCAGCGTGATTTATCAAAGTATACTAGTCAAGTAGACAACTTACACATGAATCTACAGGACGATATTCTAGATATTAGAAACTCGGCACCCCGGTGTACTACATACGTCATTATTCAAGGCCATTGTTCACCATTTTCGGGGGTCAATCCTTTCTTCGTATCAAAAGAGAGCAGTAAGTCAACATAACCTGATGTGTTACATACGCCATTATTGAAATCAAATTGGACAATTAGCGATCGTGTTACGTATAAAACAACTTGAACTTTGAGATCAATTCATCAAAGTTTCAAGATCTAATTGGTCGAGAAATAGATACTTAACAATAATATTATTATCAGTAACGGAGCATTCTAAAGTAAAAGGCGTCGAACTTATTCATTAACCCTTGGTAATTCAAGATGGAGACAACTTCGACATATGAATCTTTATAATTTGAGGTTAGAATTAAGAAAGATAATTAAAGAGACAAATGATAGATTTAAATAATTTATTCAGAAAAAATAACTTAGTTTGAGTTTAATATTCTTCCCCTTCTTCTTCTCCTTCACCTTCAACAGAATCAACTCCAACTTCTTCATAATCTTTCTCCAGAGCAGCTAAATCTTCTCTAGCTTCAGAGAATTCACCTTCTTCCATACCTTCACCAACATACCAATGGACGAAAGCTCTCTTAGCATACATCAGATCAAATTTATGATCAAGGCGAGCCCAAGCTTCAGCAATAGCAGTCGTGTTACTCAACATACAAACAGCTCTCTGGACCTTGGCTAAATCACCTCCTGGTACAACAGTTGGTGGTTGGTAGTTGATACCGACTTTGAAACCAGTTGGGCACCAGTCAACAAATTGGATGGTTCTCTTGGTTTTAATGGTCGCAATAGCAGCGTTGACATCCTTGGGAACAACATCACCTCGGTACAACATACAGCAAGCCATATATTTACCATGACGAGGATCACATTTGACCATCTGATTGGCTGGCTCGAAACAAGCATTGGTGATTTCAGCAACAGAGAGTTGTTCGTGGTAGGCTTTCTCGGCAGAAATGACTGGGGCATAGGTAGCCAATGGGAAATGGATACGTGGGTATGGAACCAAATTGGTCTGGAACTCAGTAAGATCGACGTTCAAGGCTCCATCAAATCGAAGTGAAGCAGTGATGGAGCTGACGATTTGTCCAATCAATCGGTTCAGGTTGGTGTAAGTTGGTCTTTCAATATCAAGATTTCTTCGACAGATGTCATAGATAGCCTCGTTGTCCACCATGAAGGCACAATCAGAATGTTCCAGTGTGGTATGAGTTGTAAGGATGGAGTTGTATGGTTCTACCACAGCAGTTGATACTTGTGGAGCAGGATAAACAGCAAACTCCAACTTAGATTTCTTGCCGTAATCAACGCTCAGTCTTTCCATCAACAAGGAAGAGAAACCAGATCCAGTTCCTCCGCCAAAGCTGTGGAAGATGAGGAATCCTTGAAGACCAGTGCATTGATCAGCCAGCTTCCTGGTTCTGTCAAGGACTAAGTCTATCAGTTCTTTGCCCACTGTGTAGTGACCTCGAGCGTAGTTATTGGCAGCATCTTCTTTACCAGTGATGAGTTGTTCAGGGTGGAATAGTTGACGGTAAGTACCAGTTCGGACTTCATCTACAACTGTTGGTTCCAGATCAACAAATACAGCTCTTGGAACATGTTTACCAGCTCCAGTCTCACTGAAGAAAGTGTTGAAGGAATCATCGCCACCTCCAATAGTTTTATCAGAAGGCATCTGACCATCAGGTTGGATACCATGTTCTAAACAGTACAACTCCCAACAGGCATTGCCCATCTGGACACCAGCTTGACCAACATGAATAGAGATACACTCACGCTGAAAGAAAAGAAGGCATATGGTAAATATTGTATTTAAACACTCACTTCGTCTAGCCATTCATTTCACAAAGCACACAGCTAAACATCGAGTCACATGATGCATTAGACACCTTTTTCATTTCAGCCTCTCTGATTTCCACTTTAAAATATATAATCCTGATTTTAATTGAAGAATAACATGAAAGAATTTCACTTACCATATTGAAGGTTTATAAAAGTAGAAACTAAAGTTTAAAACTGACGAAGGTTGAGAGACGGGAACCTTGCAGGAAGAGTTGAAGCTAACCAAGGCAAGATGTTACCACTGAATGTAGAGTTTGTGATTTAGAATGGTAATTTATACCTGAAACAAGAGATCTGTTGTCTTGTTGTTTATTTGTTGTTACTAGGTCATTAAGTCTTGTTCAGCAATCTTCACGGTGATTTCACAGAAACCAGATTATCATTATCATCGATTATCTAACTGATTGGATTATCGAATTGGAGAATACCGTTAAATCAAATTGGATTAAAGAATTAGTCAATAACTGCAGTCAGTGTTGTTGATAAGGTTATTACAATTTTCATGGTAACTGAAAACCTAGTCTGATATAAAACACTGTCAAATCTCAACCAAATCATTCTACTTTCAACCACACTTCACTTCACTTCTAGACTCTAGTCAGTTCTCACAACCATCAACATGAGAGAAATCGTTCATATGCAAACTGGTCAATGTGGTAACCAGATCGGAGCTAAGGTAATAAACTTTTCAATAGGTCACAGTTCAAAATGCAGTCGAGAAAACTGGGTTTGAAAACAGTCTTTGTTTTCCATACAACCCATTGTTACTCTGCGACTGTGTTTGTCAGTTAAGCTAAATTGTATGCTTGATAAGGATTCCTGTATGTGAATTGAAACGTTGCTTAAATTAAAGGAAGGAGTAGTATTCCCTTAAAAATGTTTTATTTTCTGAAAGTTAAATTTGTAGTATGAAGTATAGTTTACTGATGAAAATTTTCGAGTCATTAGGAAGTATTCTTATTGGCTATCCAAATTTCAATAAAATAATCCGTGATTTATCTTTCAGTTCTGGGAAGTGATCTCTGATGAACATGGTATTGACCCAACTGGAACTTACCACGGTGATTCTGATCTCCAGTTGGAGAGAATCAACGTTTATTACAATGAAGCTACCGGTGGTAAATATGTACCCAGAGCTGTTCTCGTCGACTTGGAACCTGGTACCATGGATTCTGTAAGATCAGGACCCTTTGGTCAGATCTTCCGACCAGATAACTTTGTCTTCGGACAATCTGGTGCCGGTAATAACTGGGCTAAAGGTCATTATACAGAAGGTGCTGAATTGGTAGATTCAGTTCTTGATGTAGTCCGTAAAGAAGCTGAAAGCTGTGACTGTCTACAAGGATTCCAGTTGACCCATTCTCTGGGTGGTGGAACTGGTTCTGGTATGGGAACCCTCCTCATCAGTAAAATCCGGTAAGAATATCCAGATAGAATCATGAACACCTTCTCTGTTTGTCCTTCACCAAAGGTATGTTGAGTAACAACTTTATTGACTTTTGGAATCGGCGTAGTTATCAAAATGTTGGTTGATCAGCTGGCAGAAAGGATCCTTTGTGAACTTTATTTGTAATCCTTGTCAAATATAGACGTTTCTTGGTCTCGTCGGCATTGACGCAAGTCAGGGCAACATGTTGCGAAAATCGGATTTGAACCTGGTTCGTAGATTGTGTATCAGATCAATCTTAACATCCTTCAAAAGCAATTTTTATTATAATTTCAGGTATCTGATACAGTTGTGGAACCTTACAACGCCACCCTCTCAGTTCATCAATTGGTAGAAAATACAGACGAGACTTACTGTATTGATAATGAGGCTCTATACGATATCTGTTTCCGTACCCTCAAACTGACCACACCCACTTACGGTGACCTCAACCATCTGGTATCAGCCACAATGTCTGGTGTGACCACCTGTCTCCGATTCCCTGGTCAGCTCAATGCCGATCTCAGAAAGCTAGCCGTCAACATGGTACCTTTCCCACGTCTTCATTTCTTTATGCCAGGATTTGCTCCTCTCACCTCTCGAGGCTCCCAACAGTACCGAGCCCTCACTGTACCCGAACTCACTCAACAGATGTTCGATGCCAAGAACATGATGGCTGCTTGTGATCCTCGTCATGGTCGTTATCTGACAGTAGCTACAATGTTCAGAGGTCGTATGTCCATGAAGGAGGTAGATGAACAGATGTTGAATGTTCAGAATAAGAACAGCAGCTACTTTGTTGAATGGATTCCAAACAATGTTAAAACTGCTGTTTGTGACATTCCACCAAGAGGTCTGAAGATGTCTGGAACATTTATTGGTAATACGACAGCCATCCAGGAACTGTTTAAGAGAATTTCTGAACAGTTTACAGCTATGTTCAGAAGAAAGGCTTTCCTCCATTGGTATACTGGTGAAGGTATGGATGAGATGGAATTTACTGAAGCTGAATCCAACATGAATGATCTGGTATCTGAATATCAACAGTACCAGGATGCTACAGCTGAAGAGGAGGGAGAATTTGATGAAGAAGAAGGGGAGCAAGATGAAGCTTAAACAAAACGCAAAATTTATATTTTAATCGTTCTTATTCTATTTATTAAAATTGTTATTTTCTCAGTAAATGGAGTTTTACGTTCTTCTCAAAAGGCTTTGAAAAAATCAAACACATTTAGTCGGACATTATGTATTCTAAACCTAATCCAAGCCCTAGCAAATGAACCCTCCCCCTACATCCCCACCACCATGACTGGTGCCTTATAAAATCTGCAAAGGGACACATCTTTGATGTACATGATTGAGGCGTAAGTCTCTCTAAACAGAGGGTACAAATTGGAGGCAGACTGATTCAAAAATTCAAAATTTTGGGCAAATGAATCCTTCCCCATGTACCCCCACTGTCACCGTTTTTGGATCACTCAAATTTTGAATGTCATCATTTATTGAAATTGAATTTTGGACTGAACCAGTTATAAAGTATTAGGCCAAGCTTTAATGTGACATATTAAGAAGTTTCCAACGAGATTTTTAGCAGACGTTATGTAACCCGGCTGCGGGCATATTACCCTCGACTTCTCGCCCACGAGACTTCCCTCTTTTTCCTTGCTTTATCGTTTGGCCGCAGCCGGCTTCCATAAAAACCATCTTCTTTCTATTTCATCCCATACAAATTCCATAAAGACAATAAAACAATAGATGTATAAGATTTTCAATTTTCTTTCCTGTGTTAGTATTTATCTCTATTCTATATAGGGCTATAGGTCATTGTCATTAAGAAACATATTATTTAGTAAGGGATACTTCCTCGTAGAATGTACATGAAATTTTAAGTCTCAAACTTGGTCATCAAGTGTATGTACATATTCATAAGTTGGACTTAGCAGGTGCAGGTACATGTATAAGACAATATGTTAAATAATGTTTCAAAATGACTAAGTTTAATGAATTATTACTTAGTTTCATGGATTTATTGGATTATAGCGCGATTTTATTGTATAGCTATGACACCAGGTAAATCTACTGATGAACACAGACTCACTTTGGCAAAGTTTAAAAATTTCATTTTTTTTGTGTTAAGAGGTAGTATACCTTTAAAAGATGTGTAAGGAAATTGTTCAAGATGCTACTTATCTCTATAAATGTACAAGCCTATACCTCAATTATACAAAAGCAAGTTATTTGCCAGAAACGAAAGTAAAGACTGTTTATAAGACATATAGAAATAGTAGTAGGTAAAGACAATAAGAATATTACGAGTAATTGAGATAAAGGGTTGCAATCGCAAATTATCAAATTTACCACAGAGCTCTAGTGATGTCCATATTACTTTAAAAAAAACAGAAATCAGGCGTCCTATAATTACATGAACACGTTCAAAGTAAGGGACGTTAAAAAATTATTTCAATCCGATGTCTACACTGTACACAGATTGTAAGCGAACGGGACGCCAAACTGCATTCGGAAAGCCACACAGATAGATGAATTAATGTGTTATGGGTTTGTAAAGCGATGATATGAATAGATTATCATCCAAACAAACAGTATTATTTATCTGGAACCTAGGAATGAGAAGTCGAGTTGATAAACCCAACCGATAAGTAGCATCAGGTGTCCTGGAAGACAGAGCTTGCCATGCTTTGCTGTCGATACCTCCCACAATACTTATCATATTAAATATCACATTCATTGAAGTTTCTGTGTTTTAGTGAATGTATTAAGTCAATATCACTCAGAGCAGCACGCCAAGTCTGGAGTATCTCGTATAGAAGAAAATACGTCCCATGATAATACTAGATGAATGGATCACTTGATGGTTTATGTTTGTTCCGAATCAAGTTGGTTTGACGTTGTTCGCAGTTTTATGTTGTGTTGTCTTCAGGCAACTGAACTATTTGTCATTCACTGCCATACGGCGACGTACCGGGTGAGATTGGTTTTGATTTGGTTTCCTGGACAATACCCGATTTAAAATTAAAATGGATTTTCAACCGATCCTGTACCTCACAGTGCTGTGTTTTCTTGTGGAAAGTAACGGAAGTGACGCATATAAATGCTTTAAAAAGGAACTGTTACAAAATATGACAGCAACCACAAAGCTAATGGACGTACCAATTTTAACCTTTGACACCGAAATTTTGACATGTTGCAAATATTGCCAATTACATTCACTTTGTAAAGCTGTCAACTTTAACCGTGTCAGTTTTCAGTGTCAACTAATGAGTGAAACACCAACTCCGTCCAACACAATTTTTGAATTTGACAATATTTTAATAGACATGGAAAATTGGAGAGAATCATATCTGGATGCGTGTAAAAACCATAATTGTCCGAATAACACCGTATGTCGTGAATTACAAGATTCCTATAATTGTGAAGTTATCGGGTGTGTGGGTTTTCCGGGTGTTAATAATATCAACTCGTCATCGTTTGAAGCTGAACCTTTGTGGGGGGTCAATGAAATGGTGGAATATGTTTGTGAACGTGGATATTTCCCGTCAATCAACCCAGTTTGTACCGAAGATGGAACGTGGAGTGAGTTTGTCTGTTCACCGTATTCTAAATGTGGTGAAATTAGAAACTGTAATGAAAGTATGGAAGAAAAGGATTATTGGCTGTATGCTGCCGAATACCAAACTCGAGTCAAATTGTTCTGTAAATGGGGTGTGGGTGCATTTGTCAGTCTTCAACATCCGAACATGGCGTCCTTCTCGGAATACACGATAACAGGAACAGACTGCGCAACGAGTCCATTAGATAACCCAGAGACCAAGGGAGCTGGAACAACAGAATTTCAAAAAATAAAATTGCAGATACTCAAAGGTTATAAAATAATTGTTTATATTCATTTCGTCACAAATAGTTCTCTAAACCCCAAAGATTATGGTTCAGCTAAAGATTGTTACCCTAAAGATAATGGTTGTGGTGTTTTGGGAAAATTTGTTATCGACACCCGAAGGACGGGCTTTAAGTTTCCAGACTCCCTGACGTGGAAAACCGTTGGGACATCCGCAGTGATTGGAAATATAACCCGGTCTATGGGTGGTCACGTGATAACAGGATTCTGTGGAGGAGATTGTGGTGGGTGCGAAATCGATGAAACCGGAAATGGAACTTATCTGCAGATAGATATAAACGATATGCCACCGTTCGAATCAGCAGAACTGCCACTTTGTCAATTTCTGGTTTAATTGTTAAACAATTCGTATAATGTGTAATACCCAGAGCTTAGTTTTACCTGAAGTTTCAGGAATTTATTTACATCCCAACCACAAAACGGCACCAAATAACAAAACTAGACGTTGTGCGAACATTGGACGACAATTGGATTATAGATAGCTGTATTGTTATCAAGAAACTAATAAAGTGGTAATTCGTATTTCTTAGTGGGTATTTGTATATATGAGTAATGTGACAAGCGATACGGGATCATAGATACAGTGGAAAATAGAAGAAGTGATTACTATATAATACAAGAATTTAGTCTCCGGACACTACCTCGTGTATAAGCTTCTTCTATTTTCTACGATATCGATACTTGTTTATTTCCGTCTTTAAAAGTCGAAGTAGCTAGTCTGCTCGGCTTGATTTGTCAAAGTGTACGAGTCAATGACAACTTGCACATGAGATAGGACGATTACATGTATATTCTAGATTTGCCCCCATATAAAAATGGTTTGCAGCCTCGACTGTTGTTCCCATATTGAATCAGTCTGTGTTCACAGCTTACCGCCGAAATTTTAGCCTTCTTAGCCACGAGTATAAATACTTACAACTGATATCAAGAATTTACTTTAGTTTAAATTTGCAAATTTCTCAATATAAATAGTTTATTCAATAATAAAATTTTGATTGAGTTTAATATTCTTCTCCCTCTTCTTCTCCTTCACCTTCAACAGAATCAACTCCAACTTCTTCATAATCTTTCTCTAGAGCAGCTAAATCTTCTCTAGCTTCAGAGAATTCACCTTCTTCCATACCTTCACCAACATACCAATGAACAAAAGCTCTCTTGGCATACATCAGATCAAATTTATGATCAAGGCGAGCCCAAGCTTCAGCAATAGCAGTCGTGTTACTCAACATACAAACAGCTCTCTGGACCTTGGCTAAATCACCTCCTGGTACAACAGTTGGTGGTTGGTAGTTGATACCGACTTTGAAACCAGTTGGGCACCAGTCAACAAATTGAATAGTTCTCTTGGTTTTAATGGTTGCAATAGCAGCGTTGACATCCTTGGGAACAACATCACCTCGGTACAACATACAGCAAGCCATATATTTACCATGACGAGGATCACATTTGACCATCTGATTGGCTGGCTCGAAACAAGCATTGGTGATTTCAGCTACAGAAAGTTGTTCATGGTAGGCTTTCTCAGCAGATATGACTGGAGCATAGGTAGCCAATGGGAAATGGATACGTGGGTATGGAACCAAATTGGTCTGGAACTCAGTAAGATCGACATTCAAGGCACCATCAAATCGAAGTGAAGCAGTGATGGAGCTGACGATTTGTCCAATCAATCGGTTCAGATTGGTGTAAGTTGGTCTTTCAATATCAAGATTTCGTCGACAGATGTCATAGATAGCCTCGTTGTCCACCATGAAGGCACAATCGGAATGTTCCAGTGTGGTATGGGTTGTAAGGATGGAGTTGTATGGTTCTACTACAGCAGTTGATACTTGTGGAGCAGGATAAACAGCAAACTCGAGCTTGGATTTTTTGCCGTAATCGACGCTCAGTCTTTCCATCAACAAGGAAGAGAAACCAGATCCGGTTCCTCCGCCAAAGCTGTGGAAGATGAGGAATCCTTGAAGACCAGTGCATTGGTCAGCCAGCTTCCTTGTTCTGTCAAGGACCAAGTCTATCAGTTCTTTGCCCACTGTGTAGTGACCTCGAGCGTAGTTATTGGCAGCGTCCTCTTTACCAGTGATGAGTTGTTCAGGATGGAAGAGTTGACGGTAAGTACCAGTTCGGACTTCATCTACAACTGTTGGTTCCAGATCAACAAATACAGCTCTTGGAACATGTTTACCAGCGCCAGTCTCACTGAAGAAAGTGTTAAAGGAATCATCGCCACCTCCAATAGTTTTATCAGAAGGCATCTGACCATCAGGTTGGATACCATGTTCTAGACAGTACAACTCCCAACAGGCATTGCCCATCTGGACACCAGCTTGACCAACATGAATAGAGATACACTCGCGCTGAAAGGAAAGAATGTATATGTGAGAAGAAAGGGGATATGTAGGGGGGTTGACCCATAAAAAGCAACAATGTATCAATATACACATGTACATGTACATCGGGTGACCCTGTAAATACTTTCATTTTACTATTATACATATAGATTAACAATGCAAAACAGATTAACAGTCAATGAAAACACAATTTCCAAGGATAGGCAACGGACTTATTGTTTATAATACTTTGATAATAAAGATAAACCTAAGGCGACACTTAGTTAGAACGTATAGATCACATTAAATGCTGGAAGATAATACTTGTTGTATTCTACTATTTTTGGGAATTAACTATCTTATTGTTCCGTTAAAATAGCAAAAACACACTAATTAACATTTTACTACTCCTGAGGTAATAAATAAACTAAAAGGGTTTCACTTACCATATTGAAGGTTTATAAAAGTAGAAATTAAGTTTAAAATTGACGAAGGTTGAGAGGAGGGAACCTTGCAGGAAGAGTTTAAGCTAACCAAGGCAAGATGTTACCACTGAATGTGGAGTTTGTGATTTAGAATGGTAATTTATACCTGAAACAAGAGATCTGTTGTCTTGATGTTTGTTTGTTGTTACTAGGTCATTAAGTCTTGTTCAGTAATCTTCACAGTGAGTTTACTGAAATCAGATTAGTTTTATTATCGATTATCGAACTGATTGGATTATCGATATAGATCATAAAGGATTATTGAATTAGATCATGGATTAAAAAATTAAATCAGTTTGGATTTAAGAATTTAGACGATAACCGAAGGCCAATGTTGTTGATAAAGTTATTAAATTGTTTATAGCAGCTGTAAACCTGGTCTGATATAAAACACTGACAAATCTCAACCAAACCATTCCACTTTCAACTACACTTCACTTCTAGACTCCAGTCAGTTCTCACAACCATCAACATGAGAGAAATCGTTCATATGCAAACTGGTCAATGTGGTAACCAGATCGGAGCTAAGGTAATTACCACTTCAATATTCCAATCTCTTGTTCAATATCCAATCGATACCAATGGGTTTGAAGGTGCACAATTGTGGAAGTGTTTTATAGACCCACCGTTACTTTGCGATTGTATTTGTCAACCAAGCTAATTTGTGGTTCGCAGTAAAGTTATCTACTGATGAAAACTATCTTTTAAGTCTAATTGAATATCAAAATACATGTACCCACAAATGATTTAATATTGATATTAAAAAAATCTGTCATATTTACTTTCAGTTCTGGGAAGTGATCTCTGATGAACATGGTATTGACCCAACTGGAACTTACCACGGTGATTCTGATCTTCAGTTGGAGATAATCAACGTTTATTACAATGAAGCTACCGGAGGTAAATATGTACCCAGAGCTGTTCTCGTCGACTTGGAACCTGGCACCATGGATTCTGTAAGATCAGGACCTTTTGGCCAGATCTTCCGTCCAGATAACTTTGTCTTCGGACAATCTGGTGCCGGAAATAACTGGGCTAAAGGTCATTATACAGAAGGTGCTGAATTGGTAGATTCCGTTCTTGATGTTGTCCGTAAAGAAGCTGAAAGCTGTGATTGTCTACAAGGATTCCAGTTGACCCATTCTCTGGGTGGTGGAACTGGTTCTGGTATGGGAACTCTCCTCATCAGTAAAATCCGAGAAGAATATCCAGATAGAATCACGAACAACCTTTTCTGTTTGTCCTTCACCAAAGGTAAGTTATTAATTAATTATCTCGACAGTATCAAACGTAGTAGACAATTTTGTATTTCCTCAATCTTGTTTTGTATATTGGTTAGAAACATACACACAAATCAAAAGTTAATCGATAAATTTTTTGCAATTTCAGGTATCTGATACAGTTGTGGAACCTTACAACGCCACCCTCTCAGTTCATCAATTGGTAGAAAATACAGACGAGACTTACTGTATTGATAATGAGGCTCTATATGATATATGTTTCCGTACCCTCAAACTGACCACACCCACTTACGGTGACCTCAACCATCTGGTATCAGCCACCATGTCTGGAGTGACCACCTGCCTCCGATTCCCTGGTCAACTCAACGCCGATCTCAGAAAACTCGCTGTCAACATGGTACCTTTCCCCCGTCTTCATTTCTTTATGCCAGGATTCGCTCCTCTCACCTCTCGAGGTTCCCAGCAATACCGAGCTCTGACTGTACCCGAACTCACCCAACAGATGTTCGATGCCAAGAACATGATGGCTGCTTGTGATCCTCGTCATGGTCGTTATCTGACAGTAGCTGCCATGTTCAGAGGTCGTATGTCCATGAAGGAGGTAGATGAACAGATGTTGAACGTTCAGAATAAGAACAGCAGCTACTTTGTTGAATGGATTCCAAACAATGTTAAAACTGCTGTTTGTGACATTCCACCAAGAGGTCTGAAGATGTCTGGAACATTTATTGGCAATACGACAGCCATTCAGGAACTGTTTAAGAGAATCTCTGAACAGTTTACAGCTATGTTCAGAAGAAAGGCTTTCCTCCATTGGTATACTGGTGAAGGTATGGATGAGATGGAATTTACTGAAGCTGAATCCAACATGAATGATCTGGTATCTGAATATCAACAGTACCAGGATGCTACAGCTGAAGAGGAGGGAGAATTTGATGAAGAAGAAGGGGAGCAAGATGAAGCTTAAACTAAAAGCAATGTTTATTTTATTATTTATTAAACTTGTTATTTCAAAACAGTAATTGGGGTTTTATTCTCTTTGTTCTGCACATGAAAAGTTTCAGATAAAAATCCTGCTGTTCATGATTTATGTTTGGAACACATTTTAGCTGGACATTATCATCTAGTTCAATATGAGCTCTAGAGGTTTTCTAGCTGTCTTAAGTGTATTTGGTCCATTCTTCCCATATTCTATTTTTTCGGTTAGATGTACAAAGCGCCTAATTGTAGTGGAAATGCAATTTGAAACATCTCATTGAAATGGTCGAAATCTATGCTATCATTGTCCGTGATACATATACAAGTTTAGAAACCTCTTTACAATCTCTTAACAAGTTGACCAACAAATATTTTAGTTCCTTTATTAAACCACTATTTATTGACATATTTCATTCAAATACAACATAATTTATATTGACATTACATAAACATAGTCATAAAATCTGAAATCTATAAAATATTTTGATTTAAATTTCCATTCATAAACAAATTGTAACAAATATGTCAGTACATATATAGATAGATAATACAGATTCATGCAGAAAGAAAACTCAATTTGGCACTTTTATGGCAGTCAAAAGATTATATCTTGCAGACAAGAGTAGGCTAAAACCTTTATATATAAGGTAGTTCATTTGGAGTTTTATGCAGGATAAATTGAAAATATACTGGCAAAATCCAGAACAAATGGTGGTCGTGGGTTGTAATCTGGTCTTGGCATGTGGAAGTCTGGTGACATGTCAGAATGTAAATGTTTAAAGTATCAGTAAAGATCAATGCCAAGAGGTTTGGCCAAGGATCAGCTAGTTTTCTTTATTTTGATCTGTCCAAGATTATTTACAGCCATGTGGATTACAATAATGATGAAAGATCACTTATTTAAGGTCCATAGATATTTAGGTTCATTGCCGATTTTTATTATAACCCACAACCTCCATAATTTCGATGTATTCAAGCAATTGGGCTAATTAATAGTGCTACAGCCAGGGTTCAATAAGATGATTAAGATGACTTATTCACGGACACAAGACCTTCACACTCTGACTGATATAAGAATCAACAACCACCATAATTTTTTTATTGATCATAGCAAATGGTCTAATGAACTGTGCAATGGTAAGGGTTGATTTTCTAACCACTCATTCACAATTAAATCAGAATCAAAAGAAACCTAGTAATCAGTATCTTGAGACAAATTTACAAACAAAAGACACAATCCATAAACAGACAATAATACAACAGTATAGCTGGAATTAAAGTTATCACAATTAAAAATATTTCTAAATTACCATAACAGAGGTGACACAAACTACATCAAATATTGTGAAATCATTGAATTTGATTTGATTTCTTTGAAAAACTTCATTCCTACAGAAGTCAATTCCTAGCCTATGGTTTTATATAAGCAGTTTCTGTCTAGCTACTGTATCCTATTATGTATGTAATCTTTCCATGTGTATCATTATATCATTGTTAATAAATAAATAATTCCTGGTGTACTCCTGTATGTTTTGATAGAGTTTTGCCGAGAGATATGGCCAATCAAGAATACTTTTGAAAAATTGAGAAACTATTAAATTATGTCCCATAGAACATATAAACAACTTATGATAAATTTATTATTGTCCAGGACACTATATCATATTGAATTAACTCCCCTTGGAGATCACTGATACCACATCACCTGATTTCTGCCATACTAGTTCACCAGCTATAAAGGTAGCTTTCACATGGAGATCCTCAGTTAGCAAGATAAAGTCTGCGTCACTACCGAAGTCTAATGTCCCTTTTCTATCTGATATTTTTAAAACTTGAGCTGGGTGAAAAGAAGCAGCTTCTAAAGCTTCCACATTTCCACATTCTGAAAGAAATAAGGTGTTTTTAAAGGTCAGAATGAAAGGTGTTGATTTAGTCAGAATGAAAGGTGTTGATTTAGTCAGAATGAAAGGTGCTGATTTAGTCAGAATGAAAGGTGTTGATTTAGTCAGTATGAATGGTGGTGATTTAGTCAGAATGAAAGGTGTTGATTTAGTCAGAATGAAAGGTGGTGATTTAGTCAGAATGAATGGTGGTGATGTAGTCAGAATGAAAGGTGTTGATTTAGTCAGAATGAATGGTGGTGATTTAGTCACAATGAAAGGTATTGATTTAGTCAGAATGAAAGGTGGTGATTTAGTCAGAATGAAAGGTGTTGATTTAGTCAGAATAAGAGGTGGTGATTTAGTCAGAATGAAAGATAGTGATTTAGTCAGAGTGAAGAAAGGTGTTGATTTAGTCAGAATAAGAGGTGGTGATTAAGTCATAATTAAAGGTGGTGATTTAGTCAGAACGAAAGGTGTTGATTTAGTCAGAATGAAATGAGTTGATTTAGTCAGTATGAATGGTGTTGATTTAGTCAGAATGAAAGGTGTTGATTTAGTCAGAATGAAAGGTGGTGATTTAGTCAGAATGAATGGTGGTGATTTAGTCAGAACGAAAGGTGTTGATTTAGTCAGAATGAAATGAGTTGATTTAGTCAGAATGAAAGGTGTTGATTTAGTCAGAATGAAAGGTGGTGATTTAGTCAGAATAAGAGGTGGTGATTTAGTCAGAATGAAATGTGGTGATTTAGTCAGAATGAAATGTGGTGATTTATTAAGAATAAGAGGTGGTGATTTGGTCAGAATGAAAGATAGTGATTTAGTCAGAGTGAAGAAAGGTGTTGATTTAGTCAGAATAAGAGGTGGTGATTAAGTCATAATTAAAGGTGGTGATTAAGTCAGAATGAAAGGAAAGATCCATATTAGACTCAGTTTTACAGAGATCTTGTTGACTAGCAGTTATATGTGAACTAGCAGTTCCACGACAAAATGCGTGAAAATAATCTTTCTGTTACCATTTAAATCGAAGTCAACAATAATCTACAGAAGAGTTAAGTTGTATTGCTCTAATAAAATTTATAGAAATTACTATTACTTGTCAAAACAGTCTTTATAAAAAAAAAATTAAAAAGTAAAATAGGCAGACAGTAAAAATTGTGTTATCTTGGAAATGTCATATATAAAAGTAGGATTTTAAGAAAACAGGTTAACATTACCTGTAGATTTTGAAAAATGTCGAACACAGCTATCCATAGAGGCAATACTGAAAAATAACGGTATGTTAATATAGTTTTGATACAGAGAGTTTTATTGATATACAGATATTTGGATAAATCACAATATGGAGAGGCCAGTTTTATTTACACAATGCTGTTTTAGGTTTCTTTAAAGCCTGCCGCACACGAGAGGAACTAGCTGAGCTGCCTGCCTCAAGAGGTTGAGAGCTGAGCTGTTTCCTCCATGTGCGCAGAATTTTTAGTGAGATTTCTGCCTGGAGAGGCTGTGAGAAAAGATCTATTGTTTGATATATTCTGCTTCAAGAGGCCAGAAATTCAACGTGTGTGGGCGTCTAAGCTGCCAGCTGAGCCAGAAAAAGTAGCTAACCAATAGAAACGCGTTGACAGATCATTTGTTGGGTTCTTTTTGCGTTTCCTTCTATAAAGACTGACTATAACTCTATCATCCAGAACTGAAGTAACTGAAATATTAGTTTGCTGTCTTAGGGATTAGAGTGATTTAAAGAAACAAGTTAATATTCAATAAAAGGCACTGGCACAAGGTTAAAGGGACAGGTAGACCATTTTTTTTTTTACCAATCATACTGAGAAACTGTTTATAGCTCACCGTAGAAATTTGAGCCTATCCATGTGTGTCCAGAATTATCAAAGACATATACAGAAATAGTGAGTAAAATTCCTAGTTTGAGATATATTTAAGGAACGATTTGATTTATGTACATTTCTACTACTTCTGAAGACTATTTACAAGACTAAAATCAACACCGCAAAATGGCTCACCTATCCCTTTAAGTTTCTCTTTCAAACTTTCCACATGGTCATTAATTCATATTAAGATATAACAGGATAACAAATATATTAAATATATCTGACCTTCCACATAGTGTATCAGTACCAGCTATAGTAGCCTTGTTATTCTTGATTTCTATCTGTTGAGTACCAAATTTATAACAACCTTCTGGTAGACCTGTAGCTTGTATAGCATCGGTTACCAGAACTATACCTAGAATAAGGTAAAGACTGTGAGATTTATACAGGACAAAATACTTACGATATTAAAACTGATATCAACTGATATCTTCCAAAACGGCCAGTAAAGTTACATAATGTTTAGGGTATATAAAGTTTCATTTTATTCCTACTCAGTATTCAGAGTGTCAAATCTTCAAATGATACGAGTAAGTAGTACTATGGAGGATATTTACAGGGCATTCTCACTCTTTCAGAACACCTTCTATCAATCTATGACTGATCAACTCTACCTGATTCATCAAGCTATTATTCCTTAGTTGCTATATCGTTGTTAATGCAGATACTAGTAGTGTGAGTGTTATTGTTAAGATCAAAATACAAAAATAAATCTTTACCTTTAGGGTTGACTCTCTGAGCTATACGTAGAGCGGCAGGGTGGGTGTGTATTCCATCTGCTATCATACCGTAGAATATCTGGGAGTTGGGAGGTAGACGATTACTGGTTAATAGACCAACTAGATGAGGATCACGATGATGAAACTGGAAATTCAAAATATCATATTCATAATATATCCATTACATACATAAACATACCAAACTTTCATCAAGATCCTGAGAAAAATCTAACCAAATATTGCATCTTCTATTCAAAATTTGAAAGTTTTTACAATTTCAGGGAAATAACTTACTAACCCTTCATCAAAATATGGTCAAAGTCAGACTGAACAACAACAAGTCTCTCTACATTTAGAAAATCAGCTTAGAGTTATTTATGCACAGTAGGCGATAGATAAGCATAAGCATTCTTGAATCTTATTTATATTCTGGATAATTATGTGTTCAGTTGAAATAAATATAACACTACTTAAACCAATTACTTATAACCAACTTCATTAGCTCAATTTCGAGCAAAAAAAGTAAGGAAATAATCTCCAATTTCACCCGAGTCACAGTTAGAATAATGGTTCAATAATGGTTTAATAACAATAAGATTTAGATTATTTTCTATAGGACCACAGTGACCTCTGAATTGATATTGCAATTCAAACAAACATGGGAAAAATTTGCTTCTGTTGTGGCCTGACGGCAATAAGACATGATCAAACTCCAGGAATGTAAAACCAATAGTAATAAATCTATATTTAAATCAGATCATACGTACAGGAAGCATGGCATTAAATAAATGAGTGATGTAAGTGGCACCATTAGATACAGCTTCTTCACCTGTTACTAGATTAGCTACAGAATGACCTGAAATATCAACCATTTAATCGTTATAGTGGATCTCGAACTTCAAGTACAAACTAATGTCATATCATAATATCATTAATAACTGAACGTAAGAATAACAGGTCTTCTGTACCTTTAATGTCTATCATAGCCGTTGATGGCTTCTATTCATTATCAAATTTTTCTGTCTGATGTGTGTGGTTTCCTGTACTTATGGAAATGGCATGACATCACTATTGCTGATCTATCTTCTACATTAGGTGACAATTATATTATCCGGGAACTGGCAAATCCTAGTGTAAAAATCTAGCCTCTCCAAAGGGACTAAACTCAGATCAAGATACCTACCTACTGAGATAACTCACCATGTTTACACAATCTTGCTTGGAATGGTTTGATTCTGGGGCTCACAACATTTTCTAAATAAGCCAAAATGTATCTTTATTTGCAAAGGGACTGAACTCTAATCAAGATACCTACCTACAGAGACAATGATTCCCCTCTCTACACAATCCTCTATAACTTGTTTGGACTGTTTTAATTCAGGAGCTAAGGTAATGATGGCGATATTTTCTAAATCACCATACATATCTATCACATCTTTAATACCGTTGTCAAATTTCTCTACAAACTCTTTTAAATGAGCCCCTTTCTTCTCTTCACTAATAAATGGACCTTCAACATGGATACCTTCAAATAGAAAGAAAAGCTTTACTTCCTACTGCTTCAGTGCTTGATAAAGACATAATGCAGTGAGCAATGAGGGAAAATCAAATAATTATTTTTCTCTTGGCTTTTAAATGGACCTCAACATGGATACCTTAAATGAAACAACATAGAGTTTTACTTTCTACTAACTGGACTAATAAACATTATGCAGTGAGCAATGAGGCAATTCTTTCAAATGAGCCCCTTTCTTTTCTTTGCTAAAAAATGGCCTTCAACATGGATACCTAAAAATCGAAAAAAGAAATTCTACCCACTTCATCAAGATATATGGTAGTGAGCAATACAATTGTCTTTCTTAGCTTGGCTTTTAAATAAGCCTCAACAAGATTAACTAAAAATCAAATGAATTATTGAGTATACATGGGCAACATCATGCAGTGAGGAATGAGGAAAAGTTTTCAACATATATAGAAGTGTCAAGATTCCTCAAACTCTCAACAGGGCTTATATAGGGCTTATTAAAACAGGTAACACCTGATAGTGGAAATAATCTTACCTACAATCCCAGCCCCTCCATTACACCCTTTTCTTTTTTTTAATAAGGGCAAGATCTGTAATAAAGAGAATATAACATCACAAACTTGAAGGTGAACAAATATCAGATTTTAAGTCTGAAAAATGAGATTGAACTCTGCCCTTAAAGTGAACAAAAATTTCCTAGAACATTTTAAAGATTAAGGACAACGTTTTAAATATTTTAAGGTTTTGCAAATCAGGTCTAAGAAATAGCTACAGTTTAATAAGCTTGTATACCTCGTTCATACGTTCTTTAGGTCAAATATCCATATCTTAAGCACCCCTTTTACAGAGTTTTCTAATGTTGTGGTCAAGAATTAGACCAAACTTTCGTTTCTGTTTTTTTCATTAGCTTTTATTTTTAATATAGCCAATTCAGTTCAACATTGCTTTAATCAATCAAATTTCTACTCTCTCCAGCGCTGTGATGCAGTCTTTATCAGGTTAGGTACAAGAGGGCTGTTGTGAGACAGTATGGTCTAATGTTAATTAGAATGTCTAATGATGAATCTTATATCCAAAACATGTGTATGAGCTTCTGCCAAATAGGTAGTCCTACAAACCTGTTTATAAACATGAGGAGGTGAGGTTATAACAGTAGGACAAAACGATGTGACTCCATGTTCTAATAAACCTTTTCTCACTTTATCTACACCTCCATTCTTTACCAGTTCTTCTTGACTAAAATCTACTCCAAAAGCACCTGACAAAATAGCAACAAAATAGACAGTTAGTACCTAGAGAGGACAAAAATAGACAGAACTATGAGGGAACAAAATATTTTTCTAGTACTAAGAGACTAGGGAGTTCTGCAAGTAAGACCCTTGTTAACTTAAGGGTTCAGGGTTCAAACTAGGCATATGTAAAGATGTTACTTTGGGATTTTTTAACTTGTTTTCCTAATAATACAATAATACATGGTTGCCAGTGCTGGCATGGACAAAGTGCCATGTCATTCAAGGATTGTAAAGAGGTTTTCTGAAAATTTTATGGATACAGAACGCATCAATTTTCATTATTCCAATTATCAATCAGACGTCTGTGGTTCCAGCAATTCCACTAACACTTAAAAATTTACTTTTTCAAATAAGTGACGTCATCAAGAACTTAGTTTTAGTGGAATTTCAGGAACCACAGACGTCTAACTAAAGATTGGAATGATGCATATTGATGCTATCAGTGTCCCAGATATACATACAAAATTTAGAAAACCTCTTTACAATATCTTTAACCTGTGCATTAAAGGCTATGTATATGAAAATGATCCATCAGCAGTTGGAAATTGAAAAAAGTAAGGCAAATGCAACCGTTTCAGCGAACTTTCCTCATCTGGACCATAAAATTGGCTAGCAAGAACTTGCCATTTATTTGAGTTTCTATGAAGCCAGGAGCCAGGATGCTATTTTTACAATTTATCTGATAATCGGCTGAAATTCTCTCATCAAAAAATATCTTCTCTGGATTTAAAATGATCCCATCCCGAACCCACAAATCTTCGGTAAATATCTCATGGTCTCGTAGAATCTGACAGTTTCTGTACTGAAATAACTTTCCTTTAGCATTAGTAAACATCTCACCAACTCACAGCTGAAAAAAAAATAGAAACAGCTCAGAAACTGAAGGCAGGAGAAAACAAAATCACATATAATTTGAATGGGTCAAAGTATAATTTACAAGGTATTTTTTTTTTTAATATCAGCGTTTTTCAGAACACCTTATACCACTCTAAGGTCAACTCGGAATAACACACAAAAAGTCTCATTTTTTAGGGTATTTTGTAACAATAACCCATTTAATTTTGCAGTGGAGAAGATATAGTAGCAATAATAAATTAAAGGGACTAGAATTGTAGGGAAGCTAAATTGCATTCTTAATCTTAGACAGTAGCCTACATAATCAAGGAGGCTTCTACAATTAGACTGAACATTGTGGCATGATGGGCAATAACAAGCACTAGTATTACGTCTTATTAGAGATACTCCACTGTAGAAGCACTGGCCTAATTTTGACAAAAAAATAAATCAATTTGATAAGAAATTTATTGCTTCTAGGGAGATTTCTACATATAAACAAACTCCAAACTTGTCTCAATGTGTAGACATAAGAATAAGTTCTACCTGTCTCACTTCAGTAGGGACATAGGCTGAAAATAGGTCAGTTGTCTATAGATCGCATAGCGTGAAACAACATTTTTTTTTAGATTCTGTTTTAATATTTCTATATCGATCACTCTACAATAGATCACTATACAGTGAAAATATTTTAATAATTGTATAACTTGACTGGGTAACAAACCAAGTAATCTAACTGACCTAGTATAACAAGTCAAACTGATAAGGATAGAGATTATATACCAACTTAACCAAAGGTCTTGTCTAGGTCATTATCAAATACTTAACCCACTAGGCTAAACCAGAGCACTTTATAGCTCTATAAAGGGCTCTGGGCTAAACAAAGTCAGAATTGCCTGAACGGTGCAGAAAGAAAAATTTTACGGGGCAAAGCCATAAAAACTCAATAGTGGAGAGAGTGGGGTTAAGGGGTAGAGAGTAGGAAATACCTAATCCAAAAAATAAAGTGTGTACACTTAGAATGACTGTCAAAGAGTCCTTATTGCTAGCATCATCAGTTGACAGAACACCCACCCTTCTCCCTTCCTACAGCCCCTCTCCTCGAAGTCAATTAACACCAACACATCCGCATCAATGCATCTTCTGGTCCATATGCCTACTTCAAACTTCTACCAAGAAGGCAATGAATTAAGTAACGTACTTACAAATCTGGACAAAGACTAGGCTTCTAATTCACCAATCGACTCAAAAAATCAGTTTTGATCAGCTGATTTCGACAGGAAAAAGCTTCTATTTTTTGTTTACAACCAACCATTAATTTGGTCAGTCTATTTTTAGAAATTTATATCCAACAACACATCTGATTGGCCAATTATTTTCAATAATCCAATCAAAACACAGTAAACTAGAAAATAAAATTAGAGATAGAGATTAAGGTTAAAAGTTGAAGGTCGTTCCAAAACGTGGATAAAAAGAAAGTAGAGTCTGCAGTGTGGAAGCCAGGAAGGCTATTTAATCATTTTCCTCTGAGATACATAGATATGGGTCGGAGTAAAATACCGTTTAAACATCATGTTATTTATATTACAGTGTTCGGCACCATTATTGGTTCTTTTATTTGGTAATTTTGTCTTTTTTTTTGCTTGTTAGTCTACTGAACGTAAAAAACCTCTAACTTCCGACCTCCTGAGTCCTGTCCACAATTATATATAAAGCATGTGTATTCACTGAATTGCAAATAGTCCAGAGCTAATAATGTATTATTGCTTAACCGTTATGAATAAAAACAGGAATTCAGTTTGAACCTTTCTGGCATGATTTTTCCAATAAGTTTTAATGTTGGGATTGGTTTAACATTTGAAAGATATTTACATAAGATTTCATCAGCCACAAATATGCCAATGGAAGTTTCTGACATATTACACACGAGACCCACTTCTTAACCTTGTTATGCACCACATGGCAGTATCCATCATTATTGGCCTAATCAGGTGAGACTCAAATAATCTCAATAAATGAGACCCTACCCATTGTGCATTGACGTCATCAGTCCACATAATATATGCATAATCAGGCAATGAAAAACTCCATTCCTCAAAAAATATTTCAACATTCATTTCATTTAATATTTTTAGGAGAGAGATCATTCCACACTACAGAATGAAACCAAAATTTTTTGAAGAAGAGGATATGCACATTACCACTAAAATGGCTAAATTTAAGCGCCTTGATATGCAGAAACAACAGAAAGAGGCTGAGGAGAGACGGAAAGCTGAAACCATGAAGGAATAAAATTTTAAATATAACTGTGACCACAGGGAACAAACTACAGTGGCAGTGCCAGTGGGGATACAAGTGAGGGGGTGGGGCATTTGGGAGGCTGGTCACACTGTACAAACATCATTATAGTTTTTACTTGCATATTGTGGAGAGAATAGTCAGTTGCCTGCAAAAGTTAGAACATATAATATTGTGAAAGGGCTTAGCTATGAATGTACCATCGAGAAAACTTTGAATAATTTCTTCTTGTACAAAAATTTATTTTTTTTTTAGTTGGTGAAACTAAATGTGAAAAAAAATAACTTCTCTTTAAAGACAGGAAACATCATGAATTACCAATAATGCAACGTAATATTAACGTCTAGTGAATAGTGTTTTGTTGTAGTTTTTATCTTCAATTCTTTTTGCAAGACATTTAGTATTAAGCTCAACATGCCCAATCAAAACCTGATTAAAATGCACGTCTGGATGCCTCGTTTGGTGTTCTGTGGGTGATTTCACCGGCCATCCATGATCTGATAATCTGGTTTTGCATTTCCTGTTTTGTGTCATATTCAACCAATCAAATGCTCTGATCAATAAATGATTTTGAAAATAGTTCTACGCAAATGAAATTACATGGTAAAATCAAAGGGACATTCTGCTTTTTTGTAGGTCGAAAAATTTAACGCCAAAACTCGAAAAGGTTACATAGCCTTTTAACGTTTTTTTTATGGTATTTGCAAGCTATTAGAAAACTGTACAGACTTGAGTAAAATAAATGCCTAATTACAGAGAAATATGTCTCCTACGTTTTCTAAAGATTTAAACTAAATATCAGGAGCCATTATATAAAGCCAATCACCAAAACTGGGTCAAACTGCTTAAGTAACAATTAGTACTCTCGGTTTTTAATTAACCCTTTTAAAACAAATTCAGTTTGATCAAGTAGATACATAGTTATAAATAGCATACTTAAGAAATATTTTCAGGTATAATTTACAACGTTTTTGATAATGAAAATGTTTTACATAAAAAGTGTAATGCTCCTTTTAGAATTTAAACAGAAATTGATAATTCTGTGTACAAATCATTTTGTTCTTAAGCTGGTGAATACTCCCCCTTCAAATGAATCATTTAAATAAAAATAATGGCTTTCTGATCATGGGTAAATGCCACAGACTGGTTCTTCCCTTGCCATAATGAGATGGTTAAAAAGCTGCCACGACAAATCATTAGTGTGTTTATAAATTCGTGTAAACTATGATAATTTAATATTATTAAAAAAAATTATGTGTTTTTTATATATTTATTTTAAAAGATCTAGATGAAAGAAAAAATGATCCTCCATCTTTTTTACTACCAGTTTTACCATAGATATTATATATTTCAATAGTCCCCTAAATTTCTCAATCACTTATAAAATTACCACAGCATTTACTTTGGACAGACCACCAATAGCTTTCTAAAGGGACAGATGCAACATGTTGGTGTTGATTTAAATCTTAAATGCAATTATGTAAAAAGTCTTCAGAAGTACTAGAAATGTACAAAAATCACATTATTCTTTTAAAAATATCTCAAAATAAGAATTTATTTTCTTATTTCTATAAATGTCTTTTCTATGTATAACAGCGTCTCAAGACAAGACGAATCATCTTTTTAACTTTCAAACACGGATATTTCTGGACACACATGGATTTGTAAGCTGTGAAATGATTGGCTTAGCTAAAAAATTTCAGTCTTTGAGACTAAGGTATGATTGGTCATACAAATGGTGCATTTGCCCCTTTAATGCTATGTCTTGCTTTATAAGGATAATGACATAATAGATCTTGGAAAAACTCTATATAGACCCTGAAATAGATTCATAAAATTTTATAACCCAGTTTTTGTGACAAATGGTGATCTGGAAGAGTGAATATGACCTGACTTGCTAGTGACATCCTCTACAGGAAGCCTTGTATACTGTTATAGTCAATAAAATAATTAGAATTTAAAATTCCTAAGCTTACAGAATGGACATTATATAACCTACTTTTTCAGTTAAATAGCCCTGTTGCTGGAAAATTGAAGTTTCAACACCTCTCTCCTTACTGTTTAAAACAATCCCTCTAATTTAAACTCCACTCCCAAACCTTCTGCAAACCATGTAGCGGTATATATTCATTTCATATTGTGAACTACTTGATTAAATGAAACGAACTGGCTCTTACTCAAGTTACTTCCCTTTGACTACTCTCTGGACGGGATATTGACAAGAACCAGAGGCCAGTATGTTTCTTGAAATATTCGTTCTACAGCTGCCGCAATTAAACCGAACAATATAAGGTGGGTACATTCGACTTCTCAAATGTACGGAATCCATGGCTGATTGACATAAAGCGAATCGGGAGAGCCCAGGGGAAGTCTGTTATTACCAATTGGTAATATATATACAATTGGGCATACTTCGATTCGTTTGACAAAATGATTTTAGTTACCTTGGCTGAAAATGTCATTAATGATGGTCAGAGCCAAGGATAATATTCCATCCTCAGTTGAATTTTTTAGAACTATCATCTAATGCAGTCAGCTAATCCATGCTAATGAGTCTTTGTTCTCCTGAAAATGGTGCTTTAAAGATGGGTTTGCTTATTGTTTAGTGTCAAATTAAACAAACAATTGGTGTTTCTAATGAATTATCATGTAATCTTAATCATATCATTATGTTTTTATTGCATATAATGAAGAGTTTTAACCAATCATAAATGTCCATGTGTGTACAGTCTGGATAATAAAAAAAATACTTTTTGACCTTACTTGATTGGTCACTCATTGGAATTCTACTGGTATTTCTCTTCTAATTTAGCTAATTATGAATTAACTATGGACATGTGAGACAAACTGGTACCTTTAACTTTTAATACAGGTCTGTTGCTGTGGGTACCTTTATTGTGCACCGTTATTGGTATTTAGTCGAACTTGGCAAATATTGTAAACGAGTTAACAATGCTAATACCTGTTAACACTTTTTTTGGGAGTCTACAAAATAGTACTTTTTTATATATTTTACATTCCAGTGCTTGGAAATGATCATTGATTAGATATTTTGTGTCTGTTGCAAGGAAGTGATAGCTGATTGAAACATTTAATTCAACATAACTTAGACCTCTATTATTTGAATAAGCCTCAACCCTACTATAAGAATGTAAGCTTTGGAATGGAATCCTTTATCAAGATAATATCGCTGTTTATAAGCTGCTATTGAAGCAGCCAATTTTTTCAAAATCATACATTTAATTGAGCAATGGAGACATTCAGTCGGCCTTCTCAATACACAGAATTAATTTCACCAGAGAGTTGTGTGTCTCAGATCACCGAAAGTAGTGAAAAATATCTCTCTTACCAGAGTTCATCAATACAGGACATCATTCAAATATCAAACTATATCGTCGGCCATGATGCTTTACGCTGTCAGATTATCGCCCAATGCAACGCCATTTTAACGGAAGCCATTAGCAACAACGACGCCATTTTCAAATTGTGCAATACATTGCATTATCATCATAGTAACTTCAGGGATGAAATTCGCAAATATTCAAGTTCAGCTTCAGAAAACAAATCTGCAGTAGATTCGAGGAATTCCAAGTTAAAGGATGTTTATGATGATTTTGTTGAGATTTTAAATGAAGGTGTTGGTGAATTGGGATCTTCAAAAATAGAATCAAAACCAGCTGAAGAATCTGTAAATATGGCTGAAACAGAAGCTCCAGCTTCAAGGACATCGGAGACAACCCCAGCTTCTCAATCACCAGAGACAACCCCAGTTTCAAAGAAACCAGAAGCAAAGTCAACCCCACCAGCATCAAAAGCTGAAAAGAAAAAGCAGGCACCAGTAGCAGCAGAACCAGTAATTGAAGAGGAGGAAACAATTTCGGAGCCAGAGGAAAGTGAAAAAGAGGCTGAAGATGATGATGACTGGTTGCCTGATGAGAAACCAGAAAAAGAGGAAAAACCAGCGAAGAAAGTTCGAAATTTCAAAAAGAAACATACGTGTGATGCATGCGACAACGCATTTAGAAAAAAACAAGATTTGGAAAGTCATCGTTTAAAAGTTCATGGAATTAAGGATTTCAAATGTGAGGTCTGCAATGAAGCGTTTGAAACGAAGGCGAAGCATAAATTTCACATGAGATCTCACGATAGTCGTGATCGCGAAAAGTTTCCGTGTGAGGTAATGATGTGCACCAGAGTATTCCAAACTAAAAGTGGTCTGGATCTGCATAAACTACGTGTCCACGATATCAAACCGAAATGTGGTCGATGGCTGGAATGCACATACTGTAACGATTACTTTCGCTCAAGACCTGATTTTGAGAAACATTTACGAAAACATACCAACGAGAAACCATTCGTTTGTGAGATTTGCGGCAATAAATTTAAACTTGAAGAATCCTTAAAATACCATATTTTAGCCCACAAGGGAGAGAAACCATACAAATGTAAAAGTTGTGATTTCATGGGCCGTAGTAAAAGTATTTTAAGAAATCACGTCAAATCACATCATACCCTAAATCGCGTTAAAAACTTTATATGTGATCTTTGTGGAAAGTCGTTTTTTAGTCGAAACGCTTGGCATGATCACACACTTCATCATACCAACAGACAACCGTACGAGTGTGATTTATGTGAGAAGAAATTCGCGCGGAAACGAAATTTAACGGAGCACAGAGAAATCCATTTAGGGACTGATAATTTGAAAACATTTTCTTGTGAAATCTGTGGCCATACAACACGTCAAAAGTACAACATTGTGGTTCATATGAGGACACATACGAAGGAGAAACCCTATAAATGTGACATTTGTGGGCAATTTTTCATGTATACTGTCACACTTCAGCAGCATAAAAGATCGTGCATGGGACCTGGGGTTTCACGAAATGAGTTTAAAGATGAGGGTCCATTGTCTATGGCTAGCTATGGGCTCTTCCCTCCTAAATATTTTTAAATATTCGAATAAATTCATGAATATTAGGGCATCTAATGTTATGGATTGAACAGATGTTTTTATAAATATTTTATGTTTATTGGGGACACTGATGGCATCAATTTGCATTATGGCAATTTTCAGATGTCTATTGTTACTGCATATCAATCAAATTAGGTGTTTGATGAAGTCACTATTTGCGATAGGCCTTAAGCAATAAAGCAAACTCGCTATTAGTGATGTCATCAAACACTTCTTTTGTGGAATTGCAGGAACCACAGATGTCTGATTGAAAATGGTGCAAATGATACTGTCAGTGTCCCCCCTACACATATTTTTTAAAGAAAAACCTCTTAACAATCCTTTTGCAATATCTTATCAGTAGTTATATACATCTTTTCTCTCAGTGGGGAAGGATATTTTGATGATAAGAATCAATAAATGTTTAAGCACAAGATGGCTCAATGTAAAACACAGTGTTTAAATAGTTACTGAATGAATATTATGTTGGAAGTTGTTTTAAAATATGTCTTATATATGTCTAGTGTGTTATCAGCTCAGAAATATTATATTATTATGTGTAAAGGGGATTCAAAAGAAGATTCCAGGTTTTGTACTTCACAATGTCAAGCTATTACAAACAGATGACATTATGAAGATGGGTTTTTGTATGTGTATCAGGGACACTTATAAGTTCTGTTCGCACCATTTTTATTCCCCATCCTTTATCTGGTTTTATATTAAAACTTTACCAGATTCGATATAACTTTAGCAAATACCATTAAATGTTGTAGTGATTGAAAACTGGTCAAATTTCTCAGGATTAACACGAACCAGAGATATGAGACAGAACATCTGTATGATGCAAATGAAGTCTTCATGTGTCCAAAATTCATAAATGGTAAACAATTTGTTGAATTTTTGCATTTATTATTAAATGTTTTTATTTTTAATATATTCTACTAAAATTGCAATATAAATTAAGGCAAAAATATGTTAAGATATATATTATATCCTTTTATCAAATAGAAGTTAAAATCCAGATGTGGATATTTCGTTTCCTATTTGTATCTGTGAGTTACCACACTTGCCATCTTTAATCTGAAAAAAATATTTATTTAAAGGGACAGGTGGCATTTTGGGGGGTTGATTTTAGTCATGAATATATGTAAATAGTCTTCAGAAGTACTAGAAATGAACAAAAATCACATACTTACTTTAAAAATACTTCAAACTAGGAATTTTACTGACTATTTTTATATACCGGTATATCTTTTCTATATATCACAGAGTATCTTAAATTGGCAAGTCATCATTTTAACATTTAAATGCAGATAATTCTGGACACATATGGCTCAAATTTCGACGCTGAACTGTAAACACTATTATTGATTAGCTCAGCTAAAAAATTCCAGTTTCTGAGACTAAAAAATGCCTACCTGTCCCTTTAAATTTGAATTTTGACTAAAAATTTATTGTAGATTTTGCTCGTCCATTAAAACCATCGTTAAAGTTTGATATACAAAGAATAAAATATTAACATCCCAGATTATTTATATACTGTGATGCATAACTATTTATACAGATCACAGATGATCAGGGAAATAACCCACAGAAACAAAAGGAAATGAAACATCTGATAGTGGAAAATGGGTTATGCAGAAACTTATAAAATAGTATTAGTGTATCTAAATTTTTAGAAATTAATATTAAATTTTTATAATATATTTTGATAGAGTAATCTTAGTAAAAGTGTTTTTTACAAGCTTACTGTAGTCTACTTGTCAACTATTTGTTATATTTATTGTTCTTAAGTTGGTGGTATTCACTATTTGTTGTGTTTTGTTTTGCTGTTATATTAGCTTTTCCTTCTATGTTGTCAATTATTAGTAAATATGCTATAAAATAAATATTTATGCTACCTCATTTAAGGTTCAAAATTCACGTTAGAATACAGATATTGAAGGAATATGAAGTGTTTTTCTAACTTTATTATGTTTATGTATCAGGGCCATTTATGGCTTACATTACATCTTTTCAATTTTCTCTCAAATGTCTGTGGTTTCTTGAAAAAGTTTCTGACTTCTCATTTCTCATAGGGCCTGTGCTATAACTATGTCATAAAATCCTTCGTTTGAGTTGAATTATTTGCAAGACCCACTGACGTCATGACTGAAAATAGGAATGGTGCAAATTGAAGCTATGGATGTACTCTATTCACATAAAAAGTTTAATGTCAACTATCCATTTGAGAATCTCGAAAACTGAATATATTAATAGAAATGCAAAAAAAGGTTATATAGGCAGATTTTGTGCCCTTTCCTGCTCATGATTGAGCTGTTGAAGAAGGAATAAAGGAAATCTGCTTCTTCTTCCTTCCTATATAGAGGTGGTAGGTGTCACTTTTCAAATACCCAAAGGTACTTCTCTTTGGAGGAGCCCACTACTATACAACTATTACTCTTGATTTTGCCACACTTTGGACAAGATTTAGATTAACGGTGTTGTCTTGCTTGTATGGAATTTTAATCGGAAATAAGAGAATTATGTAAATAATAGAGATTTAATAACAAATTAACAAGAAATATACCAAACAATCACCCAATATATTAAATAAATAACGAAGAAAGAGAGGAATTTTTCCCCTTAAATATTGTAAGTTCTCAACCTTATTAGGCTGCTAGCCTGGTTGTATGACCTCAGTACCACATCTTAAAGAATAGTAAAGAGGTTTTCTAAATGATACCATCATTATGCACCATTCTAATTTTCAATTAGACGTGTAGTTCCTGTAATTCCACTAAACAAAGTGTTTGATGACTAAGGCCCTTAGCAATAAGTTACGTCATCACACTCTTAGTCTTTGTTGAATTACAGGAACCACACATGTCTGATTGCAATTGGAATGGTGCCAATTGGTGCCTATACACATAAATTTTTTTAGAAAAACTCTTTACAATCCCTTTAAATAATATACAATATAATATCATATTTCTCTGTAGGCAGTGTGTTTCCTAAATCAATTTTTTAAAATTAAAAAAGAATATCAAATCTTACTATCTTTTCTATCACACATGAGTATCTTTAAACTCTGACCCCAAAAAAAACAAATCTCACTATCCTTTCAAAATTGTTTTTAAAAAAAACCAAGAGCGCCCAACCAGCATTTTACAACAATATTACTCATGAGTATCTTAAAACTCTGACCCCCAAAAAAACAACAACAAATACATTTGTGCCCACTGAAATTTGATTTCCCACAATAGTGCAGTCAGTAACAAATATTTTTCTTAAATATTTTGTCCCAATGAGACAGTTTTGTGAATTTTGACATGTTCCAAAAAATTCAGTTTATTTTCAAATTTTTCTTCACAATCCACACATTTATATGAATCCTCAGCAGAAATCACAATCTGCACGTTTTTATTTGAAGAAAAACTTGTCAGTGGTGAGGAATTGACACTGACAGTATTGTGAGATTTTAGATGTCTTGTTAAGTTGCCTTTGATTATGAAATTCTTGGCACAAATTTTACATTCGTATTCGTTTTCGTCTCGATGTAGCGTCATGTGATTCTGTAAGGATTTTAAATTACTGTATCGTTTATCGCAGTGTGAACAGGTTAAAGGTTTCTCCAGATGAGTTTTAGCATGATATTCCAGGTTTGATTGATCAGAGTATCGTCGGTGACAAAGACTACACTCGAAAGGGTTCTCAGCATTGTGAAACTCGTCTAGATGCGTTTTAAGAGTTTGATTGCTGCCAATGGAAGTAGAGCATAAGTTACATATAATGGCATGAGTGTCCATATGTTGTTTCAAAGAAATTTTAGTGTCAAATACATCCCCACATACATAGCATTCCAATGTAACAGCTCTCCTTTTGGTAATTTTGGGAACAACTTCAGAACTACTAAGATGTTTTGCCGCTTCATGTCTTTTGAATTCAGCTTCAGAGCGAAATTTCATGTCACAAATTTTACAGACTAGCCAATCACTTAGTTTCAGGCGATTATGGGTCTGCCAGTGTTTCAACATATTTCCATTTTGACCAAATCGTTTTCCACAAACTGGGCAAGAATAAGGACGTTCATTTTTGTGTGTACGCATGTGTATAGTCAAATACGTTTGCTGTTGGAAAGTTTTTGAGCAGACGGTACACGTGAAGGTTCTTCCTGAATTTTTAATGGATTTCTTCCTGCCTTTCCCACTTGGTGGCATCTTTTCCTTTTCATGTGTTCGCAGATGTTCATTTAACCTTCTCTGACAAATAAAACTTTTAGAACAAGAAGAACATGAATATGGACGAACTTCAAGATGTGTCAGCTCATGTGCACGAAGATGTGACATCAAAATGAATGTTTTGTTGCAAATGTCACATTCGTGAGGTCGTTCACCAGTGTGAGATCGATAATGAAGACCCAGAAGTTTTGCTGAGTCATAACTTTTATCGCATCTATCACATGGATAGGCCTTGACATGAAATTCAATATGTGTTTGGTAAGATTGTTCATTGTTGTATCGTTTGAAACAGAACGAACACTCGTATGGATAGTCGAAGGAATGAATTTCACGACTATGAGTTCTTAAATCATTTGTACTTGCTTTAACGACCCCACAAATTTCACACATGAGATTTTCTGGTTTGATGTTATGTTCAGCCATTTTATGTTGAAACACCTGCTGCCTTCCTTGGAAGAGTTTACGACAGATATCACATTCGTTGCCTTTGTTTTGATTATGACGCTTAATGTGGTGTTTCAAATTGGACTTGTCCTTGAATGGCTTGTAACAAATGGAACAGGTCATGGAATCACTTGATATTTGCAATGGTTTAGGTGAAACTCTGTTATCATATTCATCAATCCTGAAAACTCTTGGACTGTTCCTCTGGACCTGACCATCATCAGGCACAATATAAGATGAATTATCCTCTTCAACTTGATTGAGGTCCTTGATCTCGATGAATTTTGTTGTGGGTGACATTATATCCAACACATCCGATGATGCATCAACTGATGGGATGACATTCTCCAGATTCTTAGAAGTAGCTACTTCTTCAACAATCTCAGTTTCAGGATCAAAGTACTGAAGCTCCATCAATTGATCATTGACTTTGAAATAAATCACTTTTGGATTTTTTGATGAAGGGTCGACGGTTCCTTGAACAATTTCATCAACACTAACCATTTCTGATTTCATATCTGCAAGGTCTGGTTTTGAGTTTGATTGCTCATCAGTGTCCATAAAATTCAAAATGTTGGAAACCGATTGTTCTGTTTCTTGATTGTCTTGGTGAACAGTGGACATTTTCTTTGGGCTTTTCAAAGAAGGTCTTGCATCCACTGCAGAAGTTGAGGGCTTGTCTAAAGTGAAATCTGATTCGGATGCTAAGAATTTGTATAGCTGACTAGAAGTGGATACAGAAGACCCTGGTGGTTGTTCTGGAGAGGTTATCTGGTAGAAATGATCCAGCAAGGCTGTGGATGGAGTTACCTCCTCTTGCAAGTTCTTGCCTTGACCATCGAGCTGAGCTGAATGCTTTGGTGAATTTACTTCAGTATCAGGTTTTGACCATTCCTCAGACTTTTGGTTTGTTGGAACGCTCTGATTTGCTGATATAGTCTTTAGCACACCAGTTTCATAGTCTGAAGGTGTATCTATGGTTATCATATTCGCAATGTTATCACTGGTACCAGACACAGTCTCGTATGCACCAGCCTCGGAGAAGCTGGTGGTAAAACTAGGTACAGCAGTATCAGTCGTGGTTTGGTTTGGTCTGGAAGATCTGATAGTCAAAACAGAACGTCCAACTTGAACTGAGGGCTGGTTTGTGTTCCAGAAAACTTCTCCTTCCCAAACTGGTTCTGACTTTATGATTTTTGTCAAAGTGTCGTTTATCTCTTCTTCATCAATGTCGCTCATTTCTTCCAAATCTTCACAATCAATATCAGAATCTTCTGCAAATTCTTTTTTGATGATTTTTCTCTTCTGCTTCCTTTCCTTTCTGAATGAGCAGCATTTTTTGTGTCGATTTAAGTTGCTCCATGAGAAAAAGACTTTTTGGCATGAATGGCATTTAATATGTGAATCTGGATTATGTGAGGCTTCATGCATCTTCAATTTTGTCAAATGGTTGAATTGTTTACTACAATATCTACATGCATGCTTTTGGGCTCTTCTATGGATTCGCATGTGGTACTTATATGCTCGAGTGTTACAGAAGGTTTCTTGACATTCTAAACATTTCAAACAATCAGCTTCTGGTTTGGAGATTTTCGGTTGATGCATTCGCTTGATATGATTATTCATATTACCAACTTGAACAAAGCCTCGTGAACAGATAGGACAATAGTAAGGTTTAACACCATTATGAATTCTCATATGCACAGTCAAGTATGTTTGTAGAGCAAATGATTTGGAACACTCTGTACATTGGAAAGGTTTGTGCACCTCAGGCTTTTCTGGTCTTGGTTCAGTTGTTTGATTAGATACATGCATCTTAGTTTTCACATGACTTCGTAGTTGGATTATAGTTTTAAAAGACACATTACAAAGTTCACAATGATATGGAGTCTCTTTAACATGTTTTGACTCAATGTGCCGAAACAAGTACATCCTTGCCGTAAATTTTTCAGGACAGTTTGGGCATTCAAATGGCTTTTCTCCAGTATGGCTTCTTATGTGAAGCTTCAGACTAAACTTATCTCTGTAATATTTGCCACAAATTTCACAAGGTAGTGCAGTGTTGGTTTCAACATGGTGATCCATATGAGCTTGAAGATCATCTTTGGATTTGAACAACAACCAGCAAATTCTGCACTGATCTCCTGAATTGTGGACATCAACAGAATGTTGACGAAGGTCTTCCAATTTGTTAAAAATCAGTTCACAAATTTGACATTTGTATTCATACTTCTCCACACCATGTTCAAACATCATGTGCTGTAGTTTCTGTTGCTTCCCTTGAAATAAATGATGACAAATCTCACATTCATTCCCCTTGTTCTGTCCATGGCGTAAAAAATGCTTATGACAATTGTTGGGATCTGTAAAGTGCTTTCCACATACAGTACATGTTGCAGTTTTTGGAACTTTACTGTTATTTGTTCGTACTTCTACTGATAAACCAATATCTTCCATCATGATGCTGAAATGAAGAACAGAGTATCATTATTAAAGATCAGCTGGTGGATTTAATACAGATGAAATAATAACCATTGAAAATATGAAGAAATAAAAGAAAATTTAGGCGAGTTTTTTTTAAGTTACCGTACCAACCGGATATTTTTACATGTAAATTAAGATCTTATCCAATTCTTATTGAAAATCCGGCACATATGTATAGAAAATGTCCTAAAGACAAAAATTACAGTCAGTCATTTTGTAGCTACAATCCAAGACATGTCTGACAAAAGACAGATAAATCTTGTAGCTACAATCCAAGACATGACGGACAAAAGACAGATAAATCTTGTAGCTACAATCCAAGAATGACTGACAAAAGACAGATAAATCTTGTAGCTACAATCCAAGAATGACTGACAAAAGACAGATAAATCTTGTAGCTACAATCCAAGAATGACTGACAAAAGACAGATAAATCTTGTAGCTACAATCCAAGACATGACTGACAAAAGACAGATAAATCTTGTAGCTACAATCCAAGAATGACTGACAAAAGACAGATAAATCTTGTAGCTACAATCCAAGAATGACTGACAAAAGACAGATAAATCTTGTAGCTACAATCCAAGACATGACTGACAAAAGACAGATAAATCAACAGCCCTGAGTTAGACAGGGAACTTTCAGCTTCTCATGGGGCAAATGAACCAGGCATCAGTCTACTCTTTTTCAAAACTAGGGGATCAACAAAATTCAAGCTTATAGTCTGAGCTTAAATGTATAGCACTGAGTCAATAAAAGGAGATATAGGGCTATAATTTGATGTACAACCTAAGTAAATACACCCCTAATTTTAAAAATGAGCTCTTCCATCATACATATACAGTTTCATATTGATACAAAGTATGCATGTTTGGAAAAGTTCAAATGCAGGTAGGAGGGTGTCTGGCGCAGTGACATACTATATCCAGCCTACAGTAGGATTCCATCTAGGCCATCTAGGTTTACTTACCAAGCAATTAGACAAGCTTCCTGTCCTGATAGCAACTATACACTTCTAATTTCAATTTTACTTTCTGAAATAAAAGAAAGGTAATTTAGAACTGGCAGGTTAAACTTAAATTGATAGACTATCAAGTCTCAGCAATAGTCAGAGTCCTAAAGGTTTCTGAATTACATTTTTTCCAAATATTTTCTTGAAATTTGATACTCTAAAAAAAAAGGCATCTTTCAGTAAAACACGTAGTGTATAATAATAAATTTGGAGCTAATTGGAATATCAATTAATGTCTTAAAACTGTTTCTTGTTTGATGAGATTCACTCACAAACAATATTTTTTTATATTTGACTTTTAAAGGGGGGTTTTTCAACAGAGCATGTTTACAGGCTATATGTATAAGGAGTGTCATTTAGTAAAATATAATGCTACTAAATTGAGGGCCTGTTTCACATAGAAAAAGCCACGAAGAGAAACTATGAATAATTTTCGATTTGAACACCAATTCAATGTCTTCGGTCGATATGGCATGAAAAGTTGGGCGATAAGACCTGCATAGTGATTGTGACATACAATCAAGTTCAAAAGTAACAAATTCAAGCGATTTTCTCGTGAATATGGGTGTAATGTAGTAACACATTGAAATAAATTCATTTGAACTTACGACTGCGGCATATGGTGTTTAAAATTAACAAAATCTTTATCTGTCTACTTTCTTCTTCTCCATCAAATCGCTCGAGCAAATCATGCAAGTTAATATACAAGAAAAGATAACTCTCATTAAACGGGAAATCGCCTCAACGTCACTTCGCCCTCCATAGGTAATCAAACAGACACATTTGCCCCAAATGAAGCACCGACACACATAGTACACCCAGAGTTAGAAATGTGTTTATTTATTTTCGTGTGATTGTCTTGCAATACAGTGCAGGAATCTATTGCCTTTGATGAAAGTGTTCACAAGGACTTGTGGTGAAGATGTCTATTCGAACCTGGAACCTTCGTGGATCATGTACCTTGTCTTGGAACATGGGTGTGGAGGGGGAACATGATCTCAGTCTAATTTACATTGCGGGAGTAATTTGGCCAATTGTTTCTTCTCGACGGGTCTTGTAGAGCTACCTCAATTTTGCTGTATTCGCTGGCGTTCTATCCTTACAAAATATAAAATCCCGTGATACAAGAATGGTGTCTATTGCAGTCAAGGCGAAGTTTTATTTCCTGTGTGATGACTATTGCTATTACATTACCTCTTTATAAAATATAGCGACTTTTTCATCTTGAATAAGGTTCTCGAGGACATTCATTTTTACACATTGTGTTACACGTAGGTATTTACGTCTTTCTTTTCTGCACTTGTTTTGGGCTTATGGGGGCTGGCAAACGCCACCCAGTTTTAAATTAGAGAGATTTTGCCAGTTCAGCGGCATTAGTCTGCTCTTATTCGATCTGCAACCGTCGTTAGACTCAATGTGCACCGACTGCAGAAAACCGGCCTCGGTTTATTGACTGAATGACATGTCAGCCCTTCTCTTATGCCAAATTGATAATGTAATTCGTTGAAACATTGTGTATATTTTGTCAGGCCCGTAGCTACAGACGAAACAAAAATGGATTGGCCCCCCTCCCCCTGAAAAAATTCTGACAAACGACCAATTCCAGTACCGCAACTAAACACCATACACCAATGCCCCTCCGGATATATTATACGGGCCTGCATTTTGAACTAAAGAGAGGATATTGAAGCCAAAACACTTTTTTTTAAAGAAATGAATAAAAGTGCTTATTACTTGTTCTCAATAAGATCTAAACTGTATTTGATTATCATTAAGTTGGTGAGATAATTAGAGTTTATTTACCTTAGAGAAATAAGACTCGCTTGATCGTGACTTGGGCTCATTTTGGTCAAATTAGTCATATCTTGCCCTGTTTGAGTCAGATATTGAATATGACAGATGTATGTATTGTTGGAGCTCGAAAAACAAATAGAACACCCATTTTAATCTACATTTATTTTTTGGACAATTTTAAAGAACTTACTATGTTAATTGAGTATATCTTACAGATAAAACTAAGAACCAGAATCTTGTAAATGGCTATATATGAAACTTAAGTGACTATATAATAAAATATAGGCTAATAAAGAAATCATGATACTTATGATGTTTGGAGTTGGATGAATCGGTGTCTGGATGAATGAATGAATGAATGGATTTACGAATGAATGAATGAATTCACGAATGGGTGTCTGGATGGATGAATGGATTCATGAATGGGTGTCTGGATGGATGAATGGATTCACGAATGGGTGTCTGGATGGATGAATGGATTCATGAATGGGTGGATGGATTGATGCTGCTGCTGTTGTTGATGATGATAATGATGATGATGATGATGATGATGATGATAATGATGATGATGATAATGATGATAATGATGATGATAATGATGATGATGTATCAGTACCAATGGCTTTTATGTGTTTAATGTCTGGATAAGATTAGCTGTGATTTTATCTAACATCGGTAACTCTTTCATATTCAAAATATTGCAATCAAAAATAGTAATATTAAAGGCACTATTCCACAAGGATTTTGCTATTGTTATAAACTTATCTTTCGATTGAATGTAACTTGAACAAAACGATTCCATTCGCCGTCGGACATCTTTGAAATGGTTTGTTTCATAGTGAATGTCGATTTCAAACGAATTTAGGTCCTTCCAGAATCTTGTCTGAAAGTGGTTGTAGATCATGACGTCCGCGAACTGGAATTCTTCCAATCGATTTCGATCACTTTCAGTTAATACAATTTTCTTTTTAGGTTTCGATGCCGAGTTTTGTTTTAAATACAGCACATCCTTTAAACTCCAACACAATTTCCTTCGTAACATGATCAAAGATTCATCAAAATAATCCAGTAACAGCACCAAGTTAAACTCCCTGTCCAGTTTTTGAATGTATTCCTCCACAAACGATTGGTTGTTATATTGAGTTTTGGGAATACCGAAATCATGAGCCATTTGATTGTGAACAAGATCGGTATTTCCAAATTTGTTCGGATCTTTTAAAAATTGTTCGAAAACGAAAGGTGTTTTAGAAAATGTAGAAAGTCTGTGGACAAGACCAAAATATTTGGCAGCCGAAGAAAACCGTTCTTCTGGATTGCGAACAATGGCGAGATAAAATGTGTCTCTCGGTAAAATCATGTCAAAAAACGTTCGGTTATACACTACGTGGTTCAAGAACATGTTATAGCGTTGTCCTTCCGGTAGAGGCAGAACCATGTCTTTAGTGAGAAAACTACTATTGCCTAAATAATTATACCTAGCAGTATGTTTTTTCTTATATGGAATCGCCATATTCAGTTTATTGTTGATAACGAAGCGACCCAACACGTTAAAAACGGTAGAGCTGCCTGCCTTGTGTACTTTCAGAAACATTATGTTGGTTTTGGGTCGACATTGTGAAGTAATGCTGCTGGGATGTGAACCGTAGGGTAAATTGACAGGAAAAGAGGTATAGTTACACAGCAAAACTAGTCCAATTATGCAACACCTGAAATAAAAACAAAAACCAATTCCACGTGACTTCAATGGACATACTCCATCAACTGGGAATCCTTTTATTCGTTTTTATTATATACAGTGTTGGCGTCAACCTGGCAAGACTGGGGGTACAAATAGGGGACAGACTGACTCAAGAATGGGGACAAACTATCGAGGCTGAATTCAAAATGCTGCAACTCTGTAGAGGTATCTTAGTCGCAAACCTCTCGTGGAGTGTCTGAAAGGGCTTTCCTGAGAAAATTTCCGAAAAATTGAATTGATTTGGTTCATTCTGACACATAATTTAGTTAAAAAATGTACAAAAAATCATATTTTAACATTTGTTTGAAATAAAGTGGGGATACAATTGCATCTCGTTACATTTCTTTTTATTTCGTTTTCATTTTATCATTTTGACTAGAGTTTCAAATTTTTGAATGTGTGAAAACATGAAACGAAATATTAATTAGATTAAGTCAGACAGAGTAATTATATACTTACATAGTTGAAAATATTGTCAATGTTGTTGTCATTCTGCTCCTTCTGAACAATCCTGTAACAATGAAAAGAGATTTCAGTGTTAAATATAACTTGTAGAATATAACACTCCTGTTTTTTTTATATACATTGAATAAAAATAAGAAATACACTCTTTATAGACTTGAATGATTTACAATTTTAACGAAAATGGACAAACATGATGCATGATTTATTTTTAAAAAAATCCTTGTTGAAAGCAGATGCATTCTCCCCCTTTAGAATATTAAATACTAACCACTAACCATACCTTAATAGTTAATGAAAATATTTTCAAGTTTGGTGAAAAGGCATGTGAAATAGTCTAACTGGCCAGTAACTGTGTTTTGGGTATTGGAATTAATAGAATGTAAAAATTCATCTTGTCAACTTAATAAAAATTCCATGCCAATAAATTCAAGACATTATTTAGGTTTTATTTTGAGAAATATCCGAGGTAAAAAAATAAAAATTTCTTTTTTCAAAATTTCGACTGAAATCTGAAATCTTCGTTTCTTTTATCATACCGATATATAAAGTCAACTCACCTTTATACCAGGGCATGCTAACAATACCTGTAGAATAGAATAAGTACTATTGTTAACTTGTGAAGAGCTGTAAACTCCTCAATGAGAACTGACACAGCTTCGACCAACACCGACAAACACACAGTGTCATTTCAACGAATCTTTGTTCTGTACCAGTTGTTTCTAATTAATATATATATATTTATCAATAATAACATTAAAGGGATTGAATATCTTAATTTGTTGAATTATAGTCAAACGGATATAGTACCATAACTTCTCCAAGTCAGATCGTATCGTTGCGTACGTCAGTAGTAGAATAAATAGAAATAAAGGTTTATGTCCTACCATTCTATACCCTATTGAACTAGTGTTATAAATTGAGTGTTTGTCCTTATTGTAATATGTACTTTATTAAAGAAACAGTGAAGTTGTATGTCCTACTGTTCTGTAAATTATGGTCCTAATGATTGAAATAGGGTTTTATATTCTACTATTATTTCCGTCTTGAACTAATGAATGAAATGGAGTTTTATATTCTGTTATTATGTCCCGTCTTGAACTAATGAATGAAATGGAGTTTTATATCCTATTATTATGTCCCTTGTACTAATGAAGTGAAAGGGTGTTTTATATTTTATTATTATGTCCCTTGTTGTACTAATGAAGTGAAAGGTTGTTTTATATCCTATTATTATGTCCCTTGTTGAACTAATGAAATGAAATAGAGTTATCATTATGTATCTTGTACTAATGATATGAAATGGAGTTTAATATCCTATTATTATGTCTCTTCTTTAAATAATGAAATGAAGTGTTTTATATCTCATTACTATGTCCCTTGTTGAACTATATCTTATTATGATGTATCTTGTACTAATGAAATGAAATGGAGTCTTATGTGAGACTGGTTCTCGGAAGATACCTAGACCTTCAACTCTCCCAATCCTTTGTTCCACTCAGTATTGATATTCTGAAAGAATTCCATGTTTCATGTTTCAGTGCTTTCTGATATCCAAATCCTCTGGGAATGAAAGAATAAATGATTTTCAAAATATAATTGTACAATCGATGGTGGATGTTAATTTTTTCTTTCTCTAGTTGAGTATAAAGACAAAAAAAAACAGCAAAAATATTTTACCAGCATAACAATTTAGATTTACCAGGAAACTGTCTACAAGCTGGTCTATTGCCCTTTTCTCCGGATTAATCCTACCATTTACCACTAGTTGACAGGTATCTAGCTGGAAGAGGGCTTATTTAAATTGAGCTCCGTCAGTCTGTCGCCTAATTGTAGACCTATAGTCTTGTCACTGTATGCATGCTAGTATTGTGGTGGGCGTGACTATCGACTGGGCATTCTCACTCATGAGGAAAACACGATGTCAGTCTACGGTTGAGCTCATCAACTTGGTATATTCCATATTGCTAATATTGTTTTTGGTAATTGTTATCGGACGTCACCAGTAAAATAAATCCTCGTGACTTTATAATGACAATAATGACTACAAACCTAAAATTAATGACGTCGATACAGTAGACTTATCACCAATATATGACTAGTTAATATCGTTATAGTATTATCGAATCAACAACCGTGTAATTTTTTTTTTTAAATACCTTCTTCATACCATTGCCAAGTAATCTGTTGCCATACAAGACTATGATCAGAATGGTACATAGTGGTACATAGTTTAACATGTACCGCGTAATTATCAATTCAATGTAGATATAATTATATATTCAAATATTTCAAAGGATACAAATCCCCGATATAATCGATTGTTGTTAGCTGTACAAAATTGTCCTCGCTTTTTCGCTCTTTTCCTAGCCCCCCTTTCCTCGCTCGCTTTCTCGCCTTTTTTCTCGATCTTTTCCTCGCTTTCTCGTGGCCAGGCTAATATCCTATAAATTTGTTTTCAATGTTTCAGGATTGTTCAGAAGGAACAGAATGACAACAACATTGACAATATTTTCAACTATGTAGGTTATGTAATTATGTAATTATTACTCTGTCTGACTCAATCTAATTAATATTTCGTTTCATGTTTTGATACTTTCAAAAATTTTATTCCAAAAAAGAACAGTTTGATTAAGTTGAAAAAAAAAACATTCTAAAAATAAATTTAAGTTGAAATTAATATGGTGACCAAACATCAGATTTTCTAGAAAGTATGTTTTGAAGTACATGTACAAACAATGTTTTATTGTTTTTTCTGCTTCAGGAAGCCCTTCTGAACACCATTCCAGTGGATGCAACTTTAGTACCCTTGGCTGCAATCCTTGGCTGCAATCCTCGATATTCCGAATACTATGTATCGAATTTTTGAAAACTGAAAATCTGGAGAAATGTGTCCCTTATTTGAAAGTTTTAACTTAAAGTACCCTGCCGTTAAATTTGGTGAAAAAGTTTACGTCAACATAATAACGTCTCTATGTTTTTGGTTCGTGTTGGAAAACTAGTGTACGCTCCGTTTTTAATCACTTCTTATAGAACAGATTTAAGTTGATCAAGGGAATATACAACATATAAGTAAATATCAGATTTAACAAATCTTTTCCTGTATAATTTACAATGTTAGTAATCATAACAAATTACATACTGCCCCTCTAACCTTAGACAAAATCACGAAACCGAAACAAAATGAAATAAAATGTAGAATGGAAGCTAGTCTAGTATGGTTTAGTTTTTCTCAAAACAGATGTCTTCTTAAAAATTAAAATGATGCAGAACGAGTCTATCAGTGTTCCCGATACACAAGCGCCGTAACTCTCGTGACCATGTTTGATGTTGAATGTACCTACATAGTCTTGGATTTTGTGTTTATTTCAGATGTAGCATAATGTTACTGGTGTTGCTATTGACCTATATCTCATTTCCTATCAACCTAAAGATGAAGGACAATTCATTCTACGTGTTACGGCAGAAATATTAGTACAACGCTTGTATTAAGAGTAACGCATTAAACGAAGTAAGCCCTAGAACTGTAAGTTGCACTATGATCAACGTAACGAACCGCCTTATTAAAAAACGCCGCCATTGTTTTATATTTCATAGAATTCTATTGATCATTAATTGACGCATATACCCCCTCACAAGTTGTAAGTGTAAAGTAATAATGTTTTAAATACAACGTTAACGAACATATGAATTAACGGCAATATAAATCCTGACATGGCATTTAAGCAATTTCATATTTTAAGACATTTATGCACTAAGCCTCCCCACGTGCATTGAATTCATCATAGTGACTGTTGTGGTAAATCTTTTACTGATATTAAAGAATATGTATTTTTGTCTTTACAGCTAAACCACGTCTTTTCACATCGTTTTATATACCCATATTGCTTAACGACATACTGTATAATCATCTAACGCATCAAACGAATTATTTGTGAACTGTGTGTGTAATAAAACGTAAAAATAGTAACTGAATTGTTTCTCCTTAATTCATGAAAGGAACGAACGTCCCGCCCACAGTGGGTGATGCCTTGCTGCATCATAAAGTTTAAAACTTGTGTAACCTTTCATTGTTTTTTGGAGAACAAAATAATGCAGTATGACTCATAAATATACCTGGTTTGAAAGCAATCCCTGGCGAGATGAAGACCAAACCTTCAATTCTCTACCTAAACTTGATTTGGATGTTGATGAAGATCAAATTACTTCTGTGTCGGATAAGACTTCATCAAGTGCGTTATTGGCTCGAGAAAATGCCAATCTAGCTGAACTGTCATTAAGAGCTCAAGCTCTTCAGACTGAAAACTTATTGTTACACAGAAAAGTGGAAGCACAATCAAAGTATGATGCCATGAAATTAAAAACGGAGCTAAATGTAGCTAGGGCTAGAAAAAAGGCTTTAAACGAACAATTATTTGAACAATCTATGCCGGTGTTGTCTCCCAAAATCCAATTCACAGACACTCCCTTAGATTTACCTGAAGATCTAGAATTACCTAGTGTGTATCCAGAGTCTAACGGTCAACAGCATTCAGTCCCTCAACCTTTGTCTACTCCAGTAAACGATATTGTTAAACGCCAAATAGAGCTTTCAGAAATGATCTTAGCTCAACAAAGACGAAGTCTCCTTCCCAAAGTGGAAATAACCAAATTTAATGGTGATGTTTCTCAATATAGAACATTTATCAAGGCCTTTGAGAATCGGGTTGAAAAATATGCAGCTGATAATACTGATAAACTATATTTCTTATGTCAATACACAACTGGTGATCCACATGAAGTAATCAAAAGCTGTTTACACATGGAACCGACTGTTGGTTTTCTCAAGGCAAAGCATCTTTTAAAAGAAAGGTTTGGAAATGTATTCAAAATAACTGCAGAATATATGAATACCTTATTGAAATGGCCAAAGATGAAACCTGACCAACATGTCCAGTTGGAGAAGTTTTCTCAAAAACTCTTAACTCGTTTGAATGCAATGTCTGATGTGCACTATTTGAAAGATTTGAATAATCCTCAAAATTTAAGGGAATTAATGGACAAGTTACCTTTCTACTTGCAAGATCGATGGCGAAGAAAAGCTCATAGCCTACAACGTGCTACTTTTGAACATTTTGTTAACTTTGTATGCGAAGAAGTAGCCATATCATCAAATCCTGTGTTTGGTAAAAACAGTCTAGTAATAGCTCAGCGGGTCAAAATAGTAAACCTGCGTTTCGTAATCAGTCCTTTGCAACAGGTGTAGATAAAAACAATAATAATCACAATGCTAATTATCAAAGACAGAGTACGGTGAAGTGTATCTTTTGTTGTGGATCTCATGACATTGATTTTTGTTCAGAATTTCTTAAATTGTCATATGAAGAAAGACGTTTATATTGCCGTCAGAATAGACTCTGTTATGGTTGTTTAAGAAAATATCATGACAGTAGAAACTGCAGAAACAAGAAAACTTGTAGGAAGTGTGGAAAGAATCACCCAACTGCATTTCACTTAGACAACCTATTATCAAATGAACATTCTTCAAGCGCTAAATATGAATCTAATTATAATCAAGGAAAGTATTCTCAGCCATATTACAGAGGTCCTCCACAACATTCAAACAATTCATTCAACAGTGCTAATGGTTATCAACCTAACGTACCTCAGAATAATGACTATCCCTCAAAAGTTCCTGTTGTCAGTAACGGATGTGCTGATATGCCAGATGAAGAAATAGACATTATGATGTCAATAGTACCGGTGAACGTGTATAACAAGGGCAATGATATCATGATAAAAACTTATGTGTTTATGGACCATGGGTCAAGTGGTTGTATATTAACGAAGGGTGCCTGTACACAATTACAAGCTAAAGGCATTGAAACACAGATATATTTAGGCACAATGCATGGACAAACCAATATTGAAAGCATGATTGTTAAAAATTTACAAGTGATTAGCTTAAATGGTGAACATTCAATTGATTTACCTCAGACATATGTGTTAAATGAGATTCCAGTGTCTAAGTCTAAGATTCCTCAACCAGACATTGTAAAACGTTTTGCTTATTTAAAGGAAATTTACATTCCAAAGTTGTATCCTGACATAGAAATCGGCCTGCTCATAGGTACCAATTGCCCACAAGCTTTAGAGCCATTGAAAGTAATACAAAGCCAAGGAAAAGGACCTTATGCTGTTTTAACAAGACTTTCATGACATTCATGAGGTTGATATTGCAAAAAATTTTGAGAAAATTCTTGAATCTGATTTTAAAGATTATGACAGCAATTCTCCCCCTTATTCTCAAAACGATTTGAAGTTCATGGATGTAGTGAATAATTCAACAAGTTACAATGATGGACATTATATAATTCCATTACCTTTTAAAGATAATTGTAGAAGTATTCCGAACAATAGAGAGCAGGCTGTGAGACGCTTACAGTCATTAAAACGGCGATTGACAATGTGTTCCACATTTCGAGATGATTATGTACAGTTTGTAAACGACTTATTAAAAAACAAGTACGCTGTGCCTTGTGAAAGTCAACCTGTCCCTGAAACAACCTGGTACATTCCACATCATGGGATTTATCATCCCAGGAAACCCGACAAACTTAGAGTTGTGTACGACTGTAGTGCCAAATGGAATGGTGTAGCGCTTAATGACATTTTGTTACAAG